TTGAACCAGGACCCTTGGGTTCGGCCGCGCGTGTAGCAGCCAGTGACGCTGACGTAGCGGTCCCAAAAACTATGCTTTCGGTAAAAGTGGCGAACACCCAGCTTCTTTTTATCCTTTTTATTTGATGCTTCAAAAACTAATGATCGACTTTTATCGCAGGTGCTTCCAAGGTGAAAAACGTAAAATGCTATATGTTTTTCTTTAAAAAAAAAAATTAAGCATCTAAGGAGGCAGAGGACACTCCCTACACACCTACATTCGGCGGCGGTGCTATACGTGACCAGACGATGCGGTGATAGGACTAAACAGATCCCAAAACCGCGATTTTTCTTTTGCATATAATTTGTTTGCGACGAAATATTACACGACGCCGTTCTGCATCTGTCGTCGTTGGTCACTGTCCGAGACGACCGCGGCGTAGCACAGGGAAACGATCTCTGGCTTGGCGCCTGGCTTTGCCGAGTGCTCATCCCGCTTTCTCGTTGGACAGAAGCTCTCAGCGGGTCACTTCCACGTCCCGTATATTCCTCGTATTCCCCGGTATTTCTCCAGTCTCCCCAAGATTCCCCATCTAGGTCCTGCACTCTCCGTCACAGGCACCGAACTCGAGTCCGGACTCGGACAAGACCGCACCGATTTCGTTTCAAGCAAGCAACTCGACCAACGCGGCGACCGCTCGCCGCATGAGTCGAGACTGCGCCTCGTGGCCTCCGACGCTCACTGGGGCTAAGTAATTACCCGCTGTCCCAACACAACTGCTGTTTTATCCACTCACTTCTCCCGATATAGTGTCACGGTGCGACAAAACAAAATGAGCTCAATTAACCACCGCACACGAATATGCGCCCTATAAAAAAAAGAAAAAGGAAAGCGATGCATATGCAATCTGAGAAGCGCAGCCTACGACTCTCCGTGGCATTTACCACCCAAAACGCATACTCTGAAGACCTTCATACCAGCATAGCAGCCAATCGGCGTAAAATAGAGACGCCACTTTCTGTTCGCCGCAGAAGCTTAAACGAATTGAGGCCGCTGACAGCTATCACACAGTCACACACATCATACGAAGGACAGTTTTGCAGACACTGTCTGAAGAAAAATCGTCTTTATACACGTTCGAAGCACGTGGTTCGAACACGCTTGACGCCTGTTCGCAAATAATTTTGTCATCACGTTCACAATGCATAATGTACAAGCAGTGCAAGTGCGGCTCTGTGCGCGTTAATGTGGGAAGTGCTCCGCTCTCTCTCTCTCTCTCTCCACTGCCGCAGAGGGAGGGCAAAACCTCTTATTCCACGCGAACATCCACGCAGTCTACCAACCGCGTGGCCCACGAAGTCTGGCAACCGTGCAATCCCCGCCTATACCACCATTATTACGCGTTAATGACGCTATTGGCCAGATCAAAATATAGGGGCGCTTGGTCCCGCATTTTCCAACGAGTACGGTGTTCACCCAACGCAAGGCCCGTGGACAGCATTCTTCGCGTCATCTTCGATCGAGCGCGAGCCACAGATGGGAGACGAGTGCGCTGCATGAGCGTTCGGCTACGAGACCCAGCCGAGCGCTGCGGCAGAAATATAAACGAATTATTCGTGCTGTTGTTCTCATGGGTACTTAGTTGCAAACTTTGCCGCTAAGGGCGCAGCGGCTGAATCCCTTGCCGAGAGCCCAGACTGAGGAGAGCGTTCATCTCAGACAGGGAGACCGTTCTCAATGTAATGGCGGACGCCGAAGAGTGCTCAAAAGTGCGTATGCCCTGCGTTTTCACGCGGCGAGGAGGAAAGTAGGAGAAAAGGCGGAGATGTTCGTAGACGATCTAAGGTTTCGGCGCCTCCATCCGATCGAGCCTTTCGAAACTCTGTAATACAAGCTCTAGAGCCGTACTCAACAAGCCAGTACTGTGGTATCTACGCATCTACACCACCTTTTTTCACTGCGACCTTCAACAGACCTAGTAGGATGTGCAAACCTTTTTTGCATAACCTCATACCAGCCCTTAACTGACGTACCTTCGTCCCGGTCCATTTTTGGATTGCCCCCTGACACAGGGCATGCAACAACAATAGGCAAACAGGCTTTGGAACGGACGTCGTGCGTGAGTTAGTTCAGATTGCTTCCTTTTATCCCGTGTTACAATTCCCAAAACCTACGGTTGTCAGGCTATCAGTGCTTCGTCGTCGTGTTCACAAATAATTTTAATAAGAATACCAACAGTAGCGGAAAATGTGCGATTTGCACAAGAAGCTGCAGCGCGAGTGTGGCAGCAACGTTACTGAGAAACACGTTCCAGAAGGATTCTTATTTATGAAGTCAGTCGATTGCGAGCGTGAGTCGCAAGGACTTTGTGTCAGATTCAGTCACGTTTACGCTCACGACATTGCGGCAAGAGGACCGAGTTCAACCCGATGCAGGTGCTCCGATTACGTTACCACTGCAAGGTTTGGTATTGCTCCATGGCGTGTGGATGGTATGACAATGTCTACGCACCATTACTCCAGATGCAGCTATCAAATGCCGAGAGCTTACCCGCATTGACCAATGTGGAAACTGAATCAAAGCACCACACCGCCGTCGTTCTTGATGGTCTGTCATTAGCCATCTAGATTGAACCGCCCAAGTTATTGTAGCCCACCGTAGCCAAGTTCCTCCAATACCCACACCGTTGCCTAACCAGAACTGCTGCCAGAACCAGCCGGCATTTCAAGCTTTAAGCCGCTAGACGGCGTCGTCGGCGTCGCCAATTTTCAAGATGGCCGCAACCTTAAAAAAAAGGTTCTATATGTCACGCTTATCTGGGAGACTCGAAGTGGAAGAAGCAGCGAACCACGTAACAGCAGGCAGGTCGATCCCAACTTAACCCCAGCAGAGTTAAAAAAAAGGAAGAAAAGATATAATATCAACGAACGGCTTCTCTAACCGGACCAAATCAATCGCCTGCTTTTTATCGCCAGACCCGCAGTCTCCAGTGACTTTAGGTAATATTATGCGCAGAGTGAACGCGTGGTGCGAGACCGACGGTTCACTGTGCGAGACCGAGGGTTCACTTGTCCACCGCCCTATCCGCTTATCGGTAAACGGAATATGAATGTGCCTCCAGCGTTTCGGTTTCGATAAATATTGATACGACGTGTGACGGCAGAGGGCAGACACATACCCGCCCTATCCTAGACGCTTATCCACGGTGCCCTTATCTTACGGCGGCTGCTGGGTAGCTTCCAAGAGTAATCCGCGGGAAAATGAAACTTCGTTGACACACGGTGGCTGCTTACGGCTCGAGATTTTCATTGCAACATGAAACGATGCTACCATTTTTCTCGGGTGCTTGGAAACGTAACGAGGGTGTCACGAACCTTGTTGAGTGCTGCGAGTGACGGCCTCGAGAAAAGGAGGAATTCCGTGGTACTCTAATTTACATATTCTAAAAACAACCAATTTGCGCTGTCTGCAAAAAAAAAAAAAGCATCACGTTTGCAGCGCGCATTAAATGCAGAAATCAATCGCAACATCAACGAAACACCAACTAAACAAACGGCACGTAACGTTCTATGTTCGAACCTGCCCGGCGAAGGTCTCGCGCTAATTCATTCTTATGCAACGAGATTGTTGGTCGCGTGAGTGTGAAAATACGAAGCGGTTTAGTGAGGGCCTGAAAGCACGTGCTTGGAGTCGTGGCTAAAGGAGGGAGGCCTTTGGAAGATCAACTCAGGGGCCGCTACAGCGTCAAAAAACAGGATTCATGTACACTGCATCAGGATACATTCTCACGTAATGCCAATGCGTGCTGGTTTATTCTGATAGATTGGCTGACATTAGCGCTTGTAACATCTCATGCGAAGGAAACAACACAGAGGCATTACTTGAGCCACGCAGAAAGCGCTGACAGACAGCGATTTATAAACACGCCGCCATCACATAACCCTGGGCCGAGACCAACACCCTTCCCAGAATTTCCAAAGTACGCAATCCCTACAGTATCCCACCCCGCCTTCCCCCTGTCAGAATTTTTAACACACCCGTTTATTTAAAATTCTGGATAAACGCCTGCGAGCGACGATATGCAACAAAACATTTGAACCAGCGAACCAGACAAAAGCGATAAGCCGACTGCGAAAGAAAGAAGGGGAGATCATGAAAACGGCAATTCAATCGGTGAGGGGAAAAAAAAGAAACGACAGACTGGCTTTTTCTGGGTCAATACATTACTCTGGTAAAACCAGTTGCGAGCACGCAAAGGCAAAGGGGAGGGAGGACAAGCAGGAAAAGCGAGAGACTCGTCGGGCTCGTCACTCGGGAGTTTTTATCGCGTCTTTCTTGACTTTTCTTCGGTCTTACCACTCGAGATTCTCGCGAATCCGCCGACTTATCAGACTCATGTCAACCGTGTGGGCAAATCAGTGTATGGACCACCTGACCTGTCAGATCCCAGGCCTCTAAAGATCGAACGCCCGCCGCCGGTTAGACAGGTCAACCCTTTCTTTCCAGAAAGCGAGTTGTGTCGACTTTTCCTATGCAAGTCGATAACGGTTCTCAGCAAATAGCACACACCTATGTTAGGTACTCTACGAGTCTAACAAAAAAGAAGAAAGAAATGAATGAGCCGTATCTCGCCAGACGCACACGCCTCTCCCATTCAAGAACTAGGACGGCCTTTTTATAGAAACAAGTGTCTGACCAAGACCAATCTGACGCGACTGAAGGAATGTCGTCAAGGCGCACGCCGAAGACGCGTTTTTGCGAGCGCTTGCTGCTGAACGTCCGTTCCTTCGACAATGTTGCAGGTTGTGGTCTTGCGTCAAACGGACGTCCCAAACGGTTTGCGGGCAACGGAGATGGACGGTTCGGACGCTTTCGCTCGTGAGCAGAAGAGAGGCGGACCAAAAGTCACGAAGACGCTATCCGACAAACGTTCTCCGCGCGACGACTGGACTATGGAGGTCACCAAAATCGTGTCCGGACGGCACCTCGCAGACACGCCGAGAAGGAAAAGCAATGCTTACCGAGAAATGAACGCACTCCCGTCAGCGGGACGCGGCAGGCAGTAGCAACCACGTGTGTTTCAGGGCATAGCGCGTTCAAACGTCTATTCCAGAGCACGGCACGCACACGCTTCCACTTCACACAACGCCCGCACAATGCAAGAGAAGACAGAAGCAGCGAGAAGGCAGCCGGTTGCCTCCGCCGCAAATATTGTTTTTGCTCGTGCCCCTTGCGCCGTAGATTTTCAGAAATGGGCAGAATGCCACAAAGACCGTGGCGCCATCTCGCAACTATTAAACAAAGGTTTAGACCAGCTCTGCCATCTAGGGCGCCTTCCTCAAACTACTTCTGCTTTCTCATGGCCTCCGACAGGGTGGCTAAACCTCCGAGATCCCGAAGCGCGCGAGCACTTACTTCTCCGGCGTCTCCGGCCGTTCCATTCGGTTCCATTCGTGCGGAGAGCGGAGAAGGCGTAAAATCGGAAAAAGAGAAGGAGGCGGCGTCTCTCCGCGTGGAGGCGCTCTCAACCCAGGCATCGAATTCGCAGTTTCAGTGGTTTGACCATGGCGAAAACGGTGAAGAGCCCAAGAAAAAGTCGTGTTATGTCAAGTTACTGCAGCTTCTATTTACAGATTTGTGTGTCTTGTGGTATAACTGTGGGCAGCTCTGGGGAAGTAGATAGACAAGTTGTGATGCTTATTTAATTTGAGATAATCATCCGGACATGTGGGGGCTAGTGCTACAAGCGCGCCTTTTGAATATTTGACTGCACTCTGTGGCGCGTAAAAAACTCGAGAAAAAAAATTGCTGGATACATAAAAATGTGGATTTTCGTAAATAAAAATAATCATGCTGTACTTCTTTTTAATTATCTCCGCACGTTGTTTGAACTAGCTTTTTGAGTCTGAGCACGATAATACTTTATAGGGCAGTTTGTGGTGTCCTTCTTTTTTTATATTTTTGCGGGCCATATTGTGGTGTCTGCTTCTACTAGAAGTACCTTTAAGCTGGGGTCACACTGCTTATACATTATACGGAAGACAGTCTGCAGATATCAGTCATCACAATATCCGTGGTTCGAATGCCGCGTGCCAAGTTTCTTCTTGAATTCGTTGCCACGTGGTATTCGAAGCTCAGATCTCGAGGTGACTCGGGTTCGAGTCTGTTTGCAGACTGTCTTTTGTATGATGTACAAGCAGTGTGACCCCGGCTTTGGGGAAAAAAATTATGGCGGTGAGATACAACCACCTCGCAATGATTTCGCCATTTTTTTATAAACTTCATGATAATTGTAGGTACTGATCCAAAGGGTAGGACGTTACCTTGTAAACGTCTAGCTTTTGGCACATGTAGCACAGACCACCGTATCCCGTTTTGCACCTTGTGATGTAACTTAATTGATATGCAAACAGACAATGGAATTTTAAAAAAATACTTCTGGTTTATTTATAAATTCGACCTTTGTTCATTCGATATTCAAACTTCCAACCATGTTTATTTACAGATTCCAAGCCTTGAATGTTTAGATTAGACGTGGAGTACTTTGTGATGCAGTCGCTTCGAACAGTTTCTTTCGATACGCTACCCTGTTTCTCATAGTAATGCCTATGTTGACCAGGAATGGCCGTACAAACGTCTCTATTACAGTCCTAGAAATTCGTCATACGGTCATATTTTGTAGTGCAAATAAAACTCCAGAGAAAATTTAATTTCGTACAGAAAAAAAAAATATATATATATACATATATATATATCAGGCACGTAGCCAGGAATTTGTTTCGGGGGGGGGGGGGGGGGGGGGGGGGCCGCTAATGACAAAATGCTGTATGAGGGGGATGGGGGAGAGGAGGTCCCAGCAAAATGGAAGATTTCGGGGGGGGGGGGGGGGGGGGCGGGTCCCTGGCTACGTGCCTGCATGGAGCATATGTCATCTTGCCTGATATATATATATACCAGTGTGTCGAACCGAAAAAAATACGGGTTAGGTTACGGTTCAGGTTCAGGTAAATTTATTTTGTTCCGGTTCAGTTCCGGTTCAATTAATTCGATCCGCGAACCGGTTCGCGAACCGGTTCGGAAATTATAAATGACAAATTGCAACATCAAAATAAATTACAAACAAAACATCTGAAATCAGCACATACGAAACGGGATACATCGTAGTGTAAGGCTCAGGGATTTCTACCAGGAATGGTTTCTTTATGTGCACTCAAAGGTTACCTCACCGACGTTTACGCATTCGGACTTCATCTAATTGGGTCCGACGCAGTAGCTGTAAAATCCGCGACCTCCTTACAAACCCCCTTACAAGTAGAACTCGCTAACTATCCCGCCACCTCGGCGTGTATGCAATTGAAGGAACAGTGGGGAGAAAATACAGTTTTCTTTATTTGAACTAGCCTTCGGTAACTCAAATTAGACCCTTAAAGAAGTTTTCATTAAACAAGATACGGAATACGAAAAACACTCCACCGAACGCAACGCCAGAAGGACGTAATAGGATAAATATTAAAAAAGAAGAGTTCGCTGTCTCACAAATATGTTAGCTTCTAAGTGCCTATACGAAACCGGATGCATTATTATCAAACTCCACAGCCTTCTCTTTTCTCATTCCGATGGAAGCAAGCTTCAAGAACTCGCGCGTTCTAAAAACGTGTTATGAAATGAGCACACAGCAGCATTTAGGATTTACGAGATTGTAGGAAAATGATATCCCGTGACGCGATTTTTTGTTTTGCACAGCCTTCCAATTCTCTTTCTTCCGTGCAAGCCGCGACCAGCGCAATACTGGTTCCTAGGTCAAGATTCATGGATTCAGCGTTTGTCAAGATTCATGGATGCAGCGTTTATATACCTAAGACTGAGTGGAGAAGAAAAATATGTAAGCGAGGTGTGTGTCAGTTGACGGCACTTAAAAGACAAATGGCATTGATAGCACATTCATTGTCAACAGCGCGTGGCCGAACCGTATTGACATGAGCCGGTAACCGTTATTTTTTTTCCGGTTCAGTTCCAGTTCGGGTTTATCGCGATAACAATATAACGGTTCGGGTTCGGGTTCAGTTCCGGAAAAAATACCGGTTCGGTTCCGGTGTCGGTTCGGTTCGGTTCCAGTTATATACAGGGTGTTGCAGAGAACGCTGGCCAAATCGCTCCTGCGAAAACTACTCATCGCAACGAAAAAGGGCTTGTGGCGTTTTGGTCCTGGGCTAGGGGCCCATTTACGAAAATTATTAAAGTGCGGGATAATTAAGTTGTCAATTATTTTTCCGTAAATAACTTTTTTACTATTGTGTTTAAGGGCATGGTTTCAATTAGAAAATTGGTCAGCATCATCGAAAAACACTAAATCAACAAATTGCAGAACGATAGAAGGCACGTGAAGCATTTTACGACTTTCTGAAAAACCGCACAAAATCGACGGGTTTTTAAGTTTCGGTTTGCTATCGGAGCGCATCTCAGCCCCGGCGGCACCGCGCCCCGTGGAGAGATAGTACAACCAGCCTCTGCTGCGTCGCGCGATGACAGTGCAGCAGAGGTTGGTAGCACTAGGGAGTTTTAGAATAGCGCACGCTAAAGATTTCCGTAAGCAAAGAATAGCGTCGTCGCCACTGCGCATGCTCCGAACGCAAACCAGGTTTTGCGCTTTGCGTGCGCAATTTTAGCGTGCGCAATTTCTCGGAAATAGCGTGCGCACGCAAAAAGTCTTTGCGCTTCTCCAACGAGGATTCGTGATGAGAAGTTCGCTAAAGCCAAGACGAGCAGAGTTAAAAAAAGGCGGCTTCCAGGATTATGTCGGCGGCTGCTTTGGCGGCGTCGTGAGTGCGACGTCGGCGGAATCCTCGCGACTTCGATTTTCAATACGGGACGACATTGTACTCGGTTTGCCAACGATCACCGGCAGCTTGATGATTGTGACGCGTGAACATTTCTCGGCGAAGGTACGATGGGCGAAGGTCAGTGCACGAACATCTCTTGCCGAGGCGACGCAACCGGACCCGACCGGTCAACCGCTCGCGTCGCATTCTCATGTTTAAACAAATCTAAAAGAATACTCTGGACCAAAAAATCTTGTTTTTTTTTTTTTTCTAAATTTACAGCATTTCATGTGTGAAAAAGAAATTGTGACTGCATCTTGGTGGCGTCGCAAGCGCGACATGGTTGGGCTTTTGCGTCGCGTCGGAGAAACGCTATTCTAAAACTCTGTCGCGTCGCGTGCGCTAATACACGCGCTAAATTTAGCTCTAGCGCGCGCTAAAATTGCGTACGTTATTCTAAAACTCCCTACTATCTCTCCACGGGGCGCGGTGCCGCCGGGGCTGAGATGCGCTCCGGTAGCAAACCGAAACTTAAAGAGCCGTCGAATTTGTGCGGTTTTTCAGAAATACGTAAAATGCTTCGCGTGCCTTCTATCGTTCTGCAATTCGTTGATTTAGTGTTTTTCGATGATGCTGAGCAATTTTCTAATTGAAACCATGCCTTTAAACACAATATTAAAAAAATTAATCACGCAAAACTAATTAACAACTTAATTATCCCGGACTTTAATAATTTTTCTATGTGGGCCCCTGGCCCAGGACCAAAACGCCACAAGCCTTTTTCCGTTGCGATGAGTAGTTTTCGCAGGAGCGATTTGGCCTGCGTTCGCTGAAACACCATATATATATATATATATATATATATATATATATATATATATATAGGGATGGGCAAAATACATGAAAATATGTATCGAAATACAAATACAAAATACTTCGTCAAAAATGTATTTAATTACAAATCTAATTACATTTCCAAAAAAGCATTTAAGTAAAAGATACAAATACAACCAAATGTATTTGGTCTCCTCCAAATACTTTTCCAAATACATTCCTCAAAATTTGCCTCAGCGACTTCACGGCACCTGCAACGGGTTTCTGGGTATCTCATTTTAATTTTGCATCGCACACTCGGGAGTTAGTGTGCGAGGCTCTAGTAACGTAATAGAAATATAATCACAAAAAATGTAGTCATCTTGGACGTAATAGGTGAAGAAAGTACAGAGCTTCAAGCAGCTTTTTTTGTCGATTACATTTTGGTATAGACCAACAAAGAACCGAGACGACCAAGACGCGCAGCACTAGCTAGAGAATGTTTTATTGTTGCAACTCGCACCAGTTACGAAAATCTGGACGACCCGCGCATTTAGAATGTTCCAGGCGAAAATATGGATGGAAATCAAGCTGGAAAGCATCACAAGTTGTTACAGGCATTTATTTTGCCAGTCTGCCTGTTTACGTCGATTTCGTCACTATTCTTGCCCTGGACTAGCACCGTAATCACAAAGTCACTAAACGCTTGTGCTTGATTGAGAGACACTTCATTCGGTGCAGAACGTAGTTTTCTTCCTGCTCTGGACAGTGACAATAACTTTGAGGGATGTATTTTCGCCCACAAAATTGTATTTAATTACAATTGTAT